TTTATTGTATTCAGAAAACATTAGACGTGTTTGTGAAAAAGCTTTAAAATCAGGTAGCTCACATTTTATAGTCAATAAAAACAGAAGTATGTGTGGTCTTTTCTTTCTTTTTTTCTTTAAATCTGACCAATGCATTTCTTGTAGACATGGAATGTTTTGAAGATGTGCTTTTCAGATAGGTGCAGGTTTTGACTCACTTTGCTGTTATAAAACAACATGAGAAAAACAAGCATTGATGTAGATTTGCAGGATTGGGTTGAAAGGAGCATTGCCATATTGTTTTAGAACAGGAAATTAGATTCCTTTACTGTTCAGTTTAATGCTGTGTCAATGGTCTGCCCCTTCTGGCTGGGGGCAGAGCTCCTCTATTTGTTATCTCTATTGTTCTTATAGCTTTTGCCGTGTCCCACAACAACTGGAGCAGTCACCATTTTGAAGAAGTTCACCTTGGTAGTTGATCTGCCTTGTAATTCTTTTACACATGCTTGAAGTGCAGCAGTGGGTTTTTTATGTCACTTCTTCATATCCCTAGTCATGAAGGTAACGCCATAAGGCAATATGCGACAGTCTTACTGTTCCACTGGACCTTCTTTGTCTACTTTCTCCTCCTCCTCTTCTGTGCTAAATAAGGTGACATTCATTTCATTTTTCATCTTCTTATAGGAGCAACTGAAATTGATTACAGTGCCTCCTGTGATTGAGCAGGTTGGTCAGTTTCGATGCTCTTACTCTCCAATTCAGCTCAGAGTCTGACTTGTTCGCTTAGGAGGAGGTCTCGTTGACATTGAAGCTTGACTTGTTCTGTTTGGAGGGTGTCTTGCTCAGTTTGGAAGGCGTCATGCTTGGATGGAAGGCATCTCGTTCATTTTGTAGGGTGTCTTGCTCAGATTGGAGATTCTGGCTCTCGAATTGGAGATTCACTCTATGATTGGAGACTGTCCTCAACCCAGAGATTTCTCTCGCTCAGTTTGGAGGTTCTGTTTCTCAGCGAGAATACTTTCTGGAATTGAAGATTCTTTCTCTCAGTCTCAGTCTCTCAGTCTCAGTCTCTCAGTCAGGACTCTCTCCTGGAGGCTCTCTCTTTTGGTTTGGAGACTCTGTTTCTCAATTTCAGAGACGCTCTCACTCTCTGGGAGATTATTGAATAAGGGCCAATAAGCATAAGTCAGGCCCTTAATCATTTGTGCGTCCTCAGATCTGCCTGAGCTGTGACATCCCTGTCTCAAATATCTGCTTAGGCTCCCAGGATCTTGCAGGTGTTCAAGTTCCATGACACCGGGGATGTCCGTCTCTCTAAAGACTCTCCAAGTGCCTCCACACTCCCTGCCACTCAGTATTCTCTGGCTTTGAGGAAGGCTTCCTCAAAATATGATAAATAAAGATACCAGTGAAGACTGGCATCGTGGTCATCGGATGAGCATTAAAAAACCACATAAATGATTCAAAGGAGAGACTGGGAGACTGTTTAAAAACCTCAAGTTCTGTAGAATTAGCAACTCCCTCTGGAGTTGTATGCCACATTGTATGCAGATACCAGGTAAGTATTTCTGTCAGTGTTTTCAATTGAATTATATGTACTTCTAGCTCTATAGAACAGAGTGGCAAACTTAACTAAGTCTTGGTATGTTCTGAGAAAAAGTGATAGAATGCATTCCCTTGAAGAGCAGTTTTACAAGAGAAAGCTTTTTTTTTCTTTTTCTTTTTACAATAGCAAGATAGCAGCATCCAGAAGTTTACAAATATCCCACAATATTGGCAGTACACCTGGACTTTCAAGGTCGTGTTTTCAATTATGGGACCCTGGAGTAGAGATAAACTTTCTAATGGAGCTCTCTGAGAGCAGAGAAAGATTCATTCTAAAGGTCGAAAAGCAGCCTATGCCCTCATTCTCCACCAAGAATGTCAGTGGTCTGTGGGCTGGTTTGGACCAGTTCCGTGACAAGTGGGGTGAGGGGACCCACGCCCAGGGAAAGGGGTAAGGGAAAAAAGGGGAAAAATGTAGAGATACGGGGCTAAAAACAAAACAGTGGCAACAATCTGAGGACAAACAAATTTACTAAATAAGATATCGAATACAAGATAATACACTATAATACGATATTAGAACTGAAGCTAATAAATCAAATTGAGAGTGTTCGAAGGCCTTTCTGTAGTTTCATACATATAATCTCGGCATGTTTAAGGCACAGTAAAGCTGATACTTCATCCTAATGATAGATCTTTGGAGCTTATAGATTAAATAAAATAGGGCAATTAGGTCTGGATAGTAGTCACTACATTCACTTTGTTACCAATAGTTTACATAATATTAAAGATACTACTTAGAAATTGCAATAATAACAAAAATAAATGTCTCCTTGTTCTGTCAAAATATTTAAAATAAACATATCCCATAATTGAAAAACAAAACCAAAACGTTTAGCATATTCCCAACACCATTTTCCTGATACAAATTTATAAAAAAGGAAGTATTTGAAGAGTGTTTTTCCAGTATACAAAATAGAGAGCATCTTCTTGAGCAATTATTGTGTAAAATCTTGGGGATAGATTGCTGCCTTAAGTTCACATTGCTTTTTCTTGTATTGTTGTAACAGAAATGCTATGTCAGGGCTTGAACCAGTGGTAGAGAACCTGGTGGGAAGGCAGAGCCAACCCAGGAGAGCTCAGGTGTGTGGTATGTAGCTGTGTGACTGGAAGGGGTGGAGCCAGGATTCACCCTTTCCTAGATCTCATTTAAGGGTTGGCAGTGGAGGTGAGGATATCTCACTGGAGTTGCCTACGTACATGAGGTCTTCTGAAAGTGAGTAGGTTCTTTCCTTTGTTTTTGCGCCTATAGGTGTTGCATTTGAAGAAGTTTTCACTTTCTGCAGCCTAGGACTTTGTTATGCTGTCATTGCTGCAGTTTGTATTTCATTACAGTCATTGAAAACAACTAGCTTAGTATTTTTAATACTGAACGTGCAGCAAAGTTTGTTTATTTTTGGCATGATCCAACAGGGCAGATTACCCAGCCCCCAGCTATATAAAGTTCATAACAGTAAGTTCATAGGATTTTGTAAGACACAAAGACATGGGAACTTTATCTCAAAAGATCTCAATTTATCACCACTAATCACCATCGTTGTATATTGTGATTAATAAAGTAACTATGTATATAATAACTTGTTATCCATAGATATAACCCGGAAGCATGTATATCTGGCATAGATACTGAGGAAATACTACTAATTAGGAGTAGCAGCAATTAGGATTAGTAGGAAGGCAATAGTAAATAGTAAAATAAGTAATACAGCAACTAGTATAGAGTTAAAGGCTCAACCAACCTATCAAAACGCTACAGCAGTGAACATACATGTATACTGCAGGTTCCAAACTTACAGGAGGTACACTTACAATAGGCTATACGTATCTATATTGCACATATTATGTGCATTTATAAATATTCATAAAATCAGCTGTACCAAATGTATCAAACCAATTGCAGAAGGGGGGTCTAGGCCAAAGTAGACTCAAAGAAATCCTACTAAGAAAACTGATCTCACAGGGACTGATCTCGCAGAGTCTAAAACTGATTTCAGAGGAATGTCTAGAGATAGGTTGAGAAAGGCCTCAAAGTAAAGGACAGAGCCTCACTTCAAAGATGATATGGCAGCCAGCGTGTGGAGCATTGCAGAGCTGATTTTGCAATATCACGGAGTTAACCCAGTGTTCCAGTGAAAATTCCATCTGTTTGTGGAGAAAAAAATGATAATAGAAATGAGCACATGCAGCACAGGAAATTTCTCAGAGAGGAAATCTCCAATTTGGATCAAAATCAGACCCTTTCTATAGCGCTGAGACATAAAAGGGTATAGGGTACCTCTGTATCTCTACAACAAACTCTCTGAAACTCCTTGGAAGGAGGTTGTGGCAAAGCTAGTGTTGGTCTCTTTTCTTAGATAACAGAGAAAGGATGAGAAGGAACAGCCTCAAGTTGTGCTGGGGAAGATTCAAGTTGGATGTTAGGAAGAAATTCTCTATAAGAGTGGTCATACATTGAAACAGGCTACCAAGGGAGGTGGTGAAGTCACTGTCCCTGGAGGTGTTCAAGTGATGTGATGCTGAGGAATGTGGTTAGTGGACAATATTGGTGGTAGGTGGATGACTGGACTGGATGATCTTAGAGTTTTTTTCCAACCTCAATGATTCTGTGATCACTTCAGGAAACCAATAGCTGCTGTTAGTTTTGGTCTTCCTCTTAAGACATCCAATAGATGATTGTCTCTTATTTTCTTTTCTTTAAACTAAACTTTCTCACATCAATACTCACTTTTTCAGGCCTATTTCCTCTTTCCCAGGCTATTTTTCACCTTCTGAGGTCATAAGTTTTTCCTATGGTGCTTGTTTCATTTTCACCAGTAGTATTTTCAGGACGTCTCTGGCCCTCTGGTGTCCATATGCACTTCAGGGATGTCCTTGGTTCCCTTGCTGACTCAATAGGATGAAGGCTGAGCTGCTAGGACTGCATTTCCCAGGCTGGCAAACGTTTCTCTTGTCAGTGTCCTGCAGCTATTTTGTCAGTTGGGGTGAAACTTTATAATTCTGATAACAGTTTAACTCTGCTTCTGGGGTTCTGGACAACCCCTCTTTAGCTCATGGAATCATTTAGGCATATGGTCACCTAGACACCCAGCTAGTTCAACCAGTTGATTAAGGCAGGTCTAACTTGAGAGTAGCATCACAATGGAAAGGGTCTTAGCCAGGTGAATTCTGAATGTCTCCAAAGATAGATGTAGTGTAACAGAGACTGCGTGATCTCTCTGGGTAGTGTGTTCTGGTGCTCAGTCACTGTCATTGTGAAACATATTAGGGGATTTTAAAAGCAGGCAGTATAATAATCTTTCTGCAGTACAGCTGAACAGGAAGGAGGATGAACTAGACTGAGTTCTTTTGAACTTGTGTGTCTTTGATTTACATGCTAACTATAACTTAAAATAATACATTTTTTCTTTTAATTGCAGCAGGAAAAGAATCAGGAGAGCTCAAGAAGTGAAGGTAAGTGCCAATTGTTTTCAAAATGTGCTGATTCTTGTAACTATTAAAAAAATCAAACATTCATTTTTAGTAATAACAAAATGTATATATATGATTGCTAAGTGTTTGGTATTTGAAATGGCAAAAATATATCGAGGAAGGTGGAATAAAATGTTCTAAGGAACCATTTTTAAATAACTTTGATAGAGGGAAAAATAAGGCTGACTGCTATATTCTATATGAGATTTATTCCATCTTCTTAGTGTATTTGTGAACTAGACTGTGAAAGCTTGGTATATTTTAATGACACACTGGTACAGTCACTTTAGCTTTTCATTCTGCTCGTCTGTAATTGTATGTGATTACAATTTATTCACAAATGAATCGCATCCTTAGTGGGATGCCTTACAAAAGTAGTCATCTGTGTTTTTTGCCTAAGTCTCTTTATACTTTAACTACAGCTTATTTTGTGCACTACACAAAAAAGAATATCTGGGTTAAAGAAACAGCCTCGTATCAATAAAACAGAATGTTCCAAAACCCAGATGTGTCTTTCAGGTGTCTTTCTAGTATAACATTTGTTAAGAGAGAGAACACCCAAGTCGCTTTGTTAAAAGTTTGTTTTGCAAATAATGAAAGGTGAAATTTCTGTCACACGCGGAGAATGTTGTCTTGATATTGTAGGTGCTTATAGAGGTAGGTTGTGAAGTGCTTTGAAGATGAAAACAAAGGGAGGGTAGAAAAGAAAAGAATACCATACTAAAGGTTCCTGAGAGAGAGTTAAGTGACAAACTAGCCTACTTCTTTTATTACATTAGAAAACAGTGCGTAATCATATCACCCGTGTTAGCTGTTATTAATTCACTGGTCATTAGTCTCTATTTCCTCGCTTTTCTTCACATTGAGGCTACACACAGGCATCTAAAGGGAAGCCAAATCTGATGATTGTGTGGAGTGGTTCGTGTTTTATGAACCAAGGGTCATATAATTTATATCATCTCAAGGACCGTAAGTCCTTCTTTTAAAGAATGTTCACAGTATGATGAACCAAAAAGAAAATTTTAATTTTAAAGAGCATCTGAACTAAGTTTTCTTTTCTGAAGTAATTGGGTGAATTATCTTGAGATTTTTTGAGTGTACCCATGATACGTTGTTCAAAAACCTAACTTTATGGTTTAACATAAGTAATATAAAAAGGTTATGAAAACTGAGATTAGTTTTGAGAAGGAAATGAGATTTGTTAAATTGGAGGAATTGCAAGCTTTAAATCTATACTTACAAAGAAAGGTGCTGAAATGTGACTTTTTATGGACATTTGTGATTACAAAGTTGTATCATCATGCTGTTTGATTGGTTTTCCCCCTACTCTGTCTAGGTGTATGGTCATTATGAGGAGGAACAGTTAAAAGTAGGAGCCAACTATGAGCTGGTTAGGAGTGCTCATTGTGTTCATTAGCTGTTAACTAATCAAATAAATATTTCTTAGTATTGCTAGCAACTACAGTCAAAGCAAAGTATCAAACTATTTTAACTATTTTAAGAGAGATGTTCATCATCTCCCAGTAGGCAGTGAGTTTGGTACTCTGATGCACAAAACTTGTTGTGATTATATCTGTAACATCTCTTGAGTAAAGTTTTGATCAACTGAACTTCCTGTATGCTGTGCATGCAACCTAAGCTGACAAATCAACATGGAAGATCTCAGTGGTCTGGAAGAATTACTAAGTATTCATAGGCACACGGGGCAGGCTTTAGAAAAACGATCCCACTTTTTCACATACAGAGTTACAGAATTGTGGGGGTTAGAAGAGACCTCTGGAGATCATCTAGTCCAACCCCCTGCTAAAGCAGGTTCCCTAGTGTAGGTTGCAAAGCTTTTTCCTTGTGCTCTCTGTATTTTGCAGCTACTAAATACAGTAAAGGGACAAAATGCTTTTTGCAGATCCTTAAATCTTCTGAAACTTTGAAATTGAATGTTGTCATCTTAATTTGGAGGACAATTGCAGCTCATGCTAAACAGGCTAGCCTAATGAAACTCTGGAGGCTCTGGTGTGCCTTGTAACTTGCATGTATATCCATGTTCTAGTATCTAATTGTAATTCAGTACTTCTTTGGGACTGTATTTTTTAGAAGATGAGGATATTGTAGCAGAATTCAAGGATCAATATATTAGTAATGGGCATTATTCCATTTAAAGTAATAGATGAAGTAAAATATGTCTGATTTCCATTTATGTTTTTCTAATGATGCTGTTATTATTTTTGCAGTGCTTGGTTTTTGTCTTGTCTTTTTTTCTGACCCAATTGTTTTTCCCATCTGTTACTTCTGCTGTCAACCACTAAGTCATTCACACCAAAACAGAAGCCAGTACTCAAACATGCCCTATTCTGACACTGATCTAATCTCTCTCTGATCTGTGATATTCTTTCCCTTTCTGCAACATATAACAGAAGATTCTATACACTGTTTAAGAAAGAAAGAAACACTGCTTTTACATAAAATAATACAACACACATTTTAAATTTAATTGTTTGATAGCAAACTTCGTTATACTTCTGAGAGTTTTTTTTGTGTTAAAATAGTTATCATCAGGATAAAACACAAGCCTTCTGTTCAGTAACAATAATGTGAACAAGGTAGGCTGATTTAAAAAAAAGATTACTTAACCATGTAAGAATATGAAATATTTTACAGCATATGAATTTTTAAACATTTTAACTTTATTTATTTATTTCATAGTTATATTTAACATAAGCACTTGAAATTTAGAGGTAGAGAGTGTTTTGTATAACCTGCTGTGCATTCAAATTTTGAATACTTAGATAATGCTTATTTATTTAGCATTTGTTAATAAATACTAAAAATGTTTTAATTATTGGTTTGGTTCTCCAGAAGCACCTCTTTAACTTGAAAGAAGTAACAGAGCACAGAATCACCTTGCTCGTTTGGAATCACAAATTGGCCTTACCTCTCTTTTCCAAACTTAACTCCTGCACACAAATTAATATCATTTTATTCCACATCCATAGTAGATAAAATAGATAATTTCAAGATAAATAGGGAATATGTCCAGCAATATTAGAAAGCATGTATGTAAGCAGTGTGCAGAATAGTATTCCTAGCTTATGCTTAGCTTCGAAGAATTTTAAATACTTAGAATAGAATATATTACTATCTTTAATGTAGCAATCACAAGAATCAGAAAGTTGACTAATGACACTTAACAATTTTTTTTCTACAAACTTCAAAGTCATCTCAATCATTTTTAAGAGAAAGCACAGAGTCACATTTACAGTACGCTGTCACAAAATAATTCACTTAACTAGTGATGGTTTGGACGATCAGTGGAAAAATTTGGTCCCCATTACTTTGAATTATTGTACAAAAGCGTGTAGGTTTAAAAACTATGTATTAATTTCAGTATAGCAAAGCACTGTGTGATATATATATATAAAATAACATCCAAACCATGCAATAACAACAAAACCACTGAAAAACCTCCAAAACAATTTTGAAATTAGACTGAGAGTATGGTCATCAGTTTTGTAATATTGTGTCAGGTATCACATCACTGTACCACTTGTCTATCTTTGCCCATTCATTTTAGCAACATCAAGAACAGTTACTGAAAGATATATGCTTTTTTCCAGGAAAGATCTGGAAAGCAAACACAGGGTCATAATAATAATAATTTGCAAATGATTACGGTGGGAAGGTTGGAATTCTGGCCTTTAATGTCCCTTCCAACCCAGACCTTGATTCCAACGCAGACCTTATGATTCTGTGACATATGTACGTAGATGATTCCAACGATATTAACTTACATGGTTTTACTTTGTTTTAGCTGTGCTTTAGGGGGCTACTTGTGCAAAATGCTGTTAAAATTTTTGCTAGCAATTATTGATCTGAGTTTTCAACATCATTAACATCCAAAACTGAGCAGGAGAATATTGACTGACCACAACTATAACCCAGGCTTTCAGTTACATTAAATCCCTCTAACTTTATGCCTACTTTAATAATATGAGTATGAAATCATTATTGACTGATCGGTTGAAAACAATTTATTACTTTATTATTATGAACATATTGCCCTGCTTTTCAGATATTTACAGATATCTTTTATGATCATTAGGTACCAGAAAATAAAGAGATACCACATGGGCATTGCTTTCCCATCTTACTGGTAGTTTGCTCCTTAAAAGGTAACACAACACACCTGCACAGCACTTACGGCTTTGTCTGGGTTTCCATATTAGTACTGTAGTCTTTTTTTCTATACCCAGAAAAACATCAGGCAATAAAGATGGAGAAAAAGCTTAACACCGTTCAAAATGGAAAGAATTGAAGTGACAGAGTCAGCAACACCTTAATTAAATCAACAAATCTGTGGGGTGTCAATGTAACTTAGGATACTTTCACATGCCAGTGGGTGAGTGAACTGTCTATTCTGCAGTATAGCAGTCTGGTATTGCTTTTGATAGTGAAGAAAACTGTGTATGTCCTGATGAGAATATATGGCATCAGGATCTTATGCTATGTGAAACCTATGAACTGTGGAAAAGAATCCACTTCCTTACTTTCTGTAATGTATGTATCCAGTGAATCATCGTGTCTGCTTGATCACATGATTCAAATTCATATTTCAGCAGGCTGGTTTTATGTGAAAATGGTTTGAATCTGAACTGCAGTCCTACTGGATGAATTGATTCATATTTTCATTTGTCACAATACAGTAATTCTTTTCTGGTAGACCAGGACATATCATAAAAATTTATAGCGTTTTAGAGAGTATATGTAACAGCAGGCAAGTTGGTAAATGTATGTCTAAGAGTGTACTTTACATTGGAATGCAGCTACTAAATATCCTTGTTTTCCAAATGTTTTCTTTATTGTTATGTTCCGATTTAGCTGAATGAACTTTTAAGAGGTGATTTGAGGATTCTCTGTATTCATTGTAGCCAATACTGACACTTGCATCCTATTGCATTCTCCTCTAGTGCCTACTCAGCTCAAATTCT